CTCTAACTGATGTCAGCTCATGATGAAATCCTCCATGCAATCAAAAAAATAGCTGACCAGTCAAGTGAATTAGTTCCAGTTACTGACTGACGCGTTCATAGATCTGTAATAATTTAAAATGGAAACTAGTAAACCATTTTCGCTTGGAATGCTATTCACTAGATCCAAGTTTGCGTGATAACATCAGAGGTGACTTTTGCATTCATAAGCAATGTTTTTTTAAATTGAAAACACTGTAACTACTGTTTTTTTATAATATATTCTTATCAAAATACATATAAAATATTCACTCAGTCATCGGAAATTCAGTTTTTTATTCATGAATAACCAAAGGACTAACTTTTTATAATTCATTCATTATATACGAACATAACCTATGACCATCACAACTGAAACTGACTGGTCACTAGGGTGTTATCATTATCACGTATTTAGTTCTCAATGTCAATGCTGATTGAGTCCTATTACAGTCGAGTTTGAAATATGGTGACTCATCATTGTGGTGCACTTTAGAATTGGTGTTAGGTAGCTGGAAGCAATCAGTGGGAGTGAGCGTCACTTCCTTCAAGGTTGCTGGTGACCTTAAGACTTAGGCTCAGGACTTCGTATCAATATCACTTCGCAACACATCAGACAATTGTCTCAAAAGTTAGCCAGGCCTAACAATCTGATTAAAACCTTAGAAATTATATGACATTAATAAATAGTCAGGCAAGAGCAGGGTTACTCGCCTGTGACATTATGTGTATCGCGAAATGGCAGAAGTTGGAATTCATGGGCTACTCTGTCAGGTCTCGGTGGCTGAATGGTCTACTAGTTCACCTTATAACCGGAGGGTCCTGCGTCTGGACTGCCACTGAAGAGTCCCAGAATTAGGAAAATATAGTTTGGATACACTTTCATGAATTAATGCATGTGTTTCTTTACCATTTGTCTAGGTCATAATAATACTACCAAAATCAATTTTTTGACAGAAAAAGTAAGAGACAAGAGATACTTTTTCATCCGATGAATGGGAGTAAGCAACAATTCACTGTCACAATTACTCAATAAGACTCAACTTATTTACCAGTATTAAAATAACTCAATAAGCCTTTTTGAACTATTCATAAATTTAAGCCACTCGGTTGGTAATAACTGTCACTGAAATCCAGGATGCGTGTTCTTTCAGCTAGATGTGTTTGAATCTCTAGTATATGATGGTGATCTTAATAAAATTTCAATTTTAATGGCTATCTATGCTCTGTTTTTCCTTAGAAGATAACTAAGAATATTCCAGATGTTTCGTTCGCTTCGCTTTTCACATATCTGTAAGTAAGAAAATAATTCATTGTCTAAAGTTTACTTAACTTAACGGTGAATACTGATCAGCTCTATGAAGTTAAGATAAATCATCCATTATAATGTAGATTTCATCAAAAAAACCAACATCAGTTACAAAATCGTTGAAAATCAGGATCGTATTTTATTTGGATGAACACACAGACACAAGCTAGAACCCATAGGTTACTGGAATTCAACTTCATGGCTTAGTCTTAAACGTGCTATTTTCATAACTTGAAGGTTATGCGCTCAATCCCTTCTGAGGTCTTCAGTGAAAAAAAAACTCAAACTAGGGTGAAACAGATATCCATTACTCTCTAGTTTCACTGATTCTTGAATTAATGTCTTTTTATGACTAAATCTACTCTGAGGATAATCAAGTCGGTGCGTCGGTGGCACAGTGATTAGGAGACTCGCCAACCATGTATATATTCCGGAGATCGGTCCCCGGCCGACGCACACTTAGTATCGATGGTTGGCCTGCTAAATTTGGGCTACCAATATCACATGCTGAAAATTCCATACCTGTACCAAAAAATACGGTGTGGAATCAAGCTTTAATGAAATAAAACTAAAATAAATCCAACTCCTGAATATCTACTAAAACACGACTAATCGTTGGTTACAGGATTTCATTATGAGCTGATATTGGTTACGGAACCATTAGAAAACCTGCAGGGAGTACTGGACAGCTGTTTCGTCCTAGTTTGAGACTCTTCACAGTACGCACCCACCGGGGTTCGAACCCAATGTCAGCTCATGATGAAATCCTGTAACCAATCAACCAAATCCCTACAAACCAATGCGACTAATCGTTAATGACGAATAAAATGACACTATAATTACAATTATTCAAGAATAATCAACATAAAGTGAATAGATTTACAGACGAAACTATCGTAAATTTCACATAAATTATCAAAGGTCCTCAAATGATTATGTCATATATGTCTATGAATATTTTCAGTTGAGTAAATCAGTCTATGAATGAAGGTGCTCTAGGCAGAGTTTTTATCCAAGGGTATACTAAGTTTTCAACTGTTTGTGTACATTCATTCTGTTGGATTTCTACAATTATTCACACACTAATCTTATTCACTCCCCAAAAGTATCATTTCATTCTAAACATACATTTCTAAGATTAAAATATTTGTTGAAATGACAGTATGTACTACTCACTGGTTGAGATGAGTAGTTGGAAACTACTGGCAATAAATAGTAGTGCTTGCTAGTTAGCTAGCTAGGTTGAAGGGACCTAAACACGGGACAGTTGTTTCTCTTATCTTGGAACCGAGCTCATCAGTAATACACAATTGGTTAGACTAAGTTTCGAGAGAGAGGAATCAATTCGAACTACTCAAACTATGGTTAGCTACTTTAGTGAGCTGCTTTCTTGATGTTGTGTCAAGCAGATCATATCTTATGATCTAAAATACCCTGGGTTACCAAAAGGAATTGTAGAAGGACTTTTATTTGGAACTATGTGTAACAATGATACTATACTCCCTGTTAAATTCTCACCTCGAAAAATCGATGAATATGATTCACTGGAATAAGTTAGTTGAGTTATTTTCTCTACACACATGCACATAACCATATACGGATGAAAGTAAAAAAAAACCACTTATCCCAGAAAATAAAAAGTGGCTTATCAACTAGATTAATAGATTCCTTTACATTCCCAGTGGAACATCCAGGGGCATCCAGCTGGAGCTTTGAAGTTTCAGTAGCAAAATTACACTTTCAAATGATACTGTCTTAAGACAATTAAGTATGATGTATTTTCACGGGTTGATATGTAAGGCTTTGATTTGTTTTTAAAGCCCTACAAATCAACTCGTGAAAATTAATCTGATGCTCGCTAGTGATTTGCTACAGGATGGAGTTTCCTGGAGTTCTAGTGATAAGTCGTAACCAGTAGGATCCATCCAGTCGGGAGTGAGGATGAATTTCCCGCAGATGACATTGGTTGGTGGTGGCGCTAAAAGTCACGAATTGATAAAAGTTAGAAGTCATGGGCTGGCTGTTGAGTCGGGTCCCAGCTTGTCTTGAAACCGGAAGGTACTGGGTTCGAACCTTGGTGGTGAGTGCGTACTGCCGATGATTCCCAAACTAGGATGAAACAGATGTCTGGCAGTACTCCCTGGTTTCCACTGGTTCTCTAAATGATATCAATCCGTGGTCATAAATCTATGTAATTTCCAATTTTAACAAAATGACAATAAATTTACTCTAAAATAATTTGAGATATTACATACCAGCTTGAGAATCACTAACTTCATCATGAGCAACTATTAAATTAAAGATTTAATAATTGTTTTAGTTTTATAATACAGTGTAAATGAATTTCGAACTGGAGACCATTTTAGTATTCTATTGTTCTTTGTCTTATACACTAAATCTGATGTTTAACTACGGTAATGCAAAATTTCTGTTGGCGTAGCATGTACATTGCATCGGTGACGCAAAGGTAGACTACTCGTCAGTTGCTCAATTGGTCCGGGTTTTGATCCCTGGCTGACGAACTCTTAAACCTCGCCTAGTTGGTAATGAGTCCGGCAAAAGAGGGAAGGTGGGATCGATGTGAAAGTAGCAACTCCATCCGGTTAAAATAAATACCCCACTGCTACTGAAACTTCAAAGCTCTATCTATCTTGAAGCCCTATTTTCCACTGGGAACGCAAAGGAATAAAATTAAAATAAAATAATAATATGTATATTAGGGAAATCTAATAAGTAATGGATAGTCGTCAAAAGGGATCGTTAGCTGCAGTCTAATTCATTTAACTGCCGTCCATATTTATTTCTTGAAATAAATATTATTCATAACTACAAAGTAGGGTTTACTCTGAAGATGTCGTCTATAAAAGAGAACGAAAGCTCTGCAACTGAACCCCCAGCCCGCAGCTTAGACAGCATAACCACATCACAAAAGGAAATAATAATTTCTTCTCAACAAGTCTTGCCGTATAGTTTAGAGTTTTGCTTTCTTTAGGATGCCTAAACTCTCCCTACTAACTGTTTACACGCCAACACATTAGACAGTGCCCCCTTCACTTTGGTGTGTCGGTGGCATAGCGGTTAGGACGCTCGCTGACCATATACACATGGTCCGGGGTTCGATCCCCGGCCACAGACGCACTCCCTCACCTCGCTAAGCCAGAAATAATGCTGGTAAAGAGGAAAGGTTGGGCATGAGGCTAGCAACCCCATCCTGTAAAAATAAACACCACTGCTACAGAAACTTCAAGCCACTAGCTTGAGGCCCTATGTTCCACTGGGAACATGAAGAAAATATGGAATAAATCAGGGTAGTTAAGGTGAAATGTTAACCCCTTTTCAGAATTATTATGGTTAAATTTAACTCTATCTGTTGAGTTGTCACATAGATAGATAGATAGATCCCTCCACGTTGAACAAACATCTGACCGACAAGTGTCGGTAGGCGCAAAACCAAGGTCAATGACTTCCTACCAACTGCCTTCAATCATTCAAAATTAATTCAAATGTTGGACTGGGATGATAAGTCTCCTAGATTGTTGATGACATTGTAAACTGACTGACAGAACTCAGTCAGCAGCAACGCTAAGAACCAGACACTTGACTCCAATCAATATATATATATACTATCGGTAACATAAGTAATAAAATTAGCATAAATAAAGGCGACAACTAACTTGACAAAGTCTTCACGACAGTATAAATGACCATCTTTAGAATAACATCGTTCTGTAAGAAGAAATCCACACTCAAAACATCTTAAACAACTTTGATGCCATGTATAATCACCAATACTATAATAAAATTGATCAAATATAACTGTTTGACATTCATTACAATGTATCATCATATTGTCTTTTCTGCTGTCATGATTATTATTATTATTTACATGTTTATTCTGCATGCATTGATTAGATAATTTTTCATTGTTATTATTATCGTTAGAAGTATTACTTATACTCTGATGATGTTCATTCATAGTTGAACTGTCAATGGCACTGCTATCACCATTATTATTATTATTGTTTAATTGAGTAACGACAGCATGATTTGTCTCCATTCGATTAGCACTGGAACTCATCGATGTTTTACATGAATATGACAGTAAATTTGGATCTGATACGTGAATTATATTACTGTTGCCATTATTATTAGTAGTAGTAGCAGATGTTACATTAACATTATTACTACTACCAAGATTAATTGCACTTGTATTAATATTCTCATTGAAACTATAAGATAATTTATTTTGATTACTAATTCCATTTTGATTGAAATTTGGTGATATCCAATTTTCAGGATTTAAAGTTGTCATTCTTTTTTTATTTTTCAATTTTTCATTAGACAAAAATACAAAGTTAATTGATGATTATTTCAAATGTTGTTTAAATTTATCAAACTGTCTGCTACACTTGTCTCTATAGTAATTGATTTGATTTGAAATGTTAAAAATCAATGATTGATATACATACACATTGTATAAAAGTCAATGATCATTTTGTTGTGTTGAAAAATGATTAACTATTTATTAAATTTAATAATATTAACTATTGTTTATTTAAAAGTGTTATAAGTCTGAATTTCTAATACTCTCTCTCTACTATTCTGATTACTGTTGCTACTTTTCTCACCTTGATTGATAGATAGCGCCTTCAAATATTATCTTTTATGTTGTAAACTCACTCCCCTGTCTATCTATAATCTACTAATCTACTGTATATTTTCTCTACCCCTATGCGCACCAGTCACATGCAATCATATGAAATCAATGTTTTTGATTGGTTGAAAATAATAAACGAAGTATACAAGCGGTAATTTAGACTAGAATACAATGTAGAGACCTAAATTTGATGCAAAAAAGAGTTCATCTGCCCCCCTTTCATTCTAACATTCATTTTCTAATCTATATTTTATATGTCCCATTTAACCAAATGTAGATGATATATAACTCTTAAGTAGTCATTGTTTGCTGACAAATAAGATTTAGTGAACAAACCCTATCGATTATTGGTCAATATATCACATGATTCGCAGGCTGATATGATATATGAGTAGGTAGACGCAGTAAACAAACATACACTGATTCCTATAACTCGATATTTATTTGTTGTCACTATCTCGATATATCCTCATGCTAACTTTATAAATCATTATCGACAATCATGTTTGTAGAGAGTGTTCAGCTGATGAGTACTGCTGAAATTTATGAATTGATGAGATAGAGGCTTTTTATTCCACAAATGTTATTTGTTATATAATAAACATTTGCATAAGGTATTAAGAAGACAAATTTCGCGAGATGATGTCATTTCGTAGTTTCTTTACAACTGCCTTACAATTAACATGGATCACAACAGTAAAATAAAATAAAATGCATGACAATTACTCAGTTAAATAAAAACAAAAGTACATACTAATGACCAAATAGTCAATTCAGAGTAGGCGAAGGCTGAAGTCTATTGTTTTTTGTACACACAGTTTACGCTGTATGTGATTAATTCAAAGTGCTTCCATCACCTTCAATAACCTTGAATTAGAGTTATGTGAAATAATTGTGAAACAGTCATTAATATTGATTTTGTGACCTGACATTAATAAGTGCTTTACAATGGATGATGATGGTGGATTTCAATTCAGATTACTCGCATTGGGATTTTCTATATGATTTAGTAGCCATTTTCGAACATGTTCTTTCCGACGACATTGGAACATTCTGTTCGTTCCACCCATATAGGTGTCACATTCTACGCCGCATCTCTTTTTCTCACTTGCCAAACATTTTCGGTCCCTGCACCTACGATTATAGGACCAAAATTCTGTGGACTCTACTTCAAACTGTATCTACAAGTCCACCTGCAGTTGCGGTGACACATATGTAGGTAGAACCAATAGAATGTTCCTATGTCGTCGAAAATAACATGTTTCAAAATGGTCATTTAAACATAAAGGAAATCCCAATACAATTAATCTGAATAGAAATCCATCATCTTCATCCATTGTAAAGCACTTATTAATGTCAGGTCACAAAATCAATATTAATGACTGTTTCACAATTATTTCACATAACTCTAATTCAAGGTTATTGAAGGTGATGGAAGCACTTTGAATTAATCACATACAGCGTAAACTGTGTGTACAAAAAACAATAGACTTCAGCCTTCGCCTACTCTGAATTGACTATTTGGTCATTAGTATGTACTTTTGTTTTTATTTAACTGAGTAATTGTCATGCATTTTATTTTATTTTACTGTTGTGATCCATGTTAATTGTAAGGCAGTTGTAAAGAAACTACGAAATGACATCATCTCGCGAAATTTGTCTTCTTAATACCTTATGCAAATTTATCAAAGGGACTAATTGTTTTAATATAATAAACAACCCATTTATTACCATCAGTAGTGTTTCTTTTTCTATTAAGTCCTGTTTCTTCCAGTGACTGAAAAACGGTTCCACTCTCTACTGTCTAAATAGTAAAATTCACGAGTTGTATTTAGAAAATTTTCACTTTCATCAGTAGTAGAGTGTTTGTTTCTACCGCGAATTTTAAATTACAGTAATTTCAATATCTCCATTTACAAACATGCTCTACAAATTTAAGTATCAATAAAAGCACAGATGCATCTGGTTACTGATAGGAAGCGGTTGAACCAACAGCTTAAAATATTGTGGATAAATTGAACTATTGGTCCGAGGCAGAATTATTATTATTGTATCCTTTAATTCCTACAGGAACATAGGGCTTCAGCCGTGCGTCTCCATTGCGTTCGGTTCTCTGCTACAGTCTTCACCTGGCTCCATGTCTGCCCACACCTTTTCATCTCCTCTTCACATGACCTCCTCCAAGTCACCCTTGCACTGACGACCAACTCGCCGCTTCCCTTTCGGTTGGGTTCCACTCGAGCAATGGCTTGTCTAGTGATGCCACTTGATGGATTGTTTCCTCAGAGTATGGCCAGCCAATCCATCTCCATTTCTTCCTGCCTTTTTGTTTCACAATCGGTTCCTGGTTGGTTCGCTCGCAGAGACCTCTGTTGCCGATCATTTCTGGCCATCTGATCTTGAGTGGTATTGAGCAAAGACAACTGTTAATGAAGGTCTGTAGTTTGTTTGAGATGCTCTTTATGACGCACTGGCCGAGTATCTGATCCGTATAGTAGAACTGACTGACTTCACATTGGAGTTGAAAATTCGGATCTTATTGGTCCGAGGCAGAATACTTGCTATAATCCGATTGGACAACGATGAAACCTGACTTTTGGGAACCAAATTTAATTAGTTATTTGTTAGCTTAACTTTCTGAGATTATTAATATTCATATAGGATGTATTTTGTATAATAAACTGAATTGTTCTCACCAGTAAAGACCAGTTTGTCTTCTGTCTTCATTTTCGTGAGCTAAACGGCGGGAGTGGGATTGAAATCATCAATAATTAGTGTCACAGTATTATTATATCAACAGACATAACAGTTACATAAACGTCTATTCTTTTATTTCCTTCTAAAAATATTCAGGGAGGTAAAGAAGTCAATCTATGAATCGTCTTGAACACCCAATCAGTCATAGTTAAGGAACATTAAAAGTTGTAAACTTGTTAATAAAATATAATTAAAAACTTTTTTCCATTTCTTCGCATTCTAGGTAAAAAAAATAGGGTTTCCCAATTTGACCTCTGAAGTTTCAGTAGCCCCTCTTAGTCCGGTTTTCTACCGGCTAAGTCTAGGAGTCTATCAGGTGGGAATCTCACGCGGACCACATGCGTGATTGGCGAACATTTTATCGTTGAACTACCGACGTACATTTAAAAGTATGTTGAACCATAACATTCTATAAAATAATTCTGACACGTAACAAAGATGTTTCTTAATTTCTCACTGAATAGTCCGTTGGGATATTAACCCAGGTTCCATACATGTACTTGTGTAACAACAGAAGACAAGGGTCAGGCGACAGATCGTTTATTAGGGAAAATCAACACATATTTATAGATTTTAATGTACATTATTGTAGATTATTGTTAGTAGAAAATACAGTCTGTTGATTGGTTGTTTCTCACAGAAAGTTAACCTTGCATCTCTTTGTGGCTGTGTCAGATCATCCATATGCTAACTGTACCCGCCTACGCAAAGCCTTTGTTCTCATTTTCTCACCACCAATATTGGGGACATAAACACTGACGTCAATTACTGTCTACCAACTTTGGCTAGCCAAGCAAAATACTAATCCGCATCATCCTGGAAAGAATCAAACATGCCAACCTGGATGAAAAACTTCGACCGGAACAGGCTGGATTCAGGAGAAACAAGTCATGCATCGATCAGATCGCCACATTACGGATCATCATTGAACAAAGCTTGGAGTGGCAGTCACCTCTCTATCTCAACTTCACCGACTTTGAAAAGGCCTTTGACAGAGTCCATCGAGAGCTGATTCGGAAACTACTTCGCTATTACAGGGTGCCACCGACTCCCATCCAACAGATGTACGACAATGCTGCATGCCAAGTAATCCACAACGGGAAACTTACGGAACCCTTCGAAGTGAGGACAGGAGTAAGACAAGCTGGCTGGCTGCCTACTATCGCCAATGATTTTCCTGATTGCAGTAGACTGGATAACGCGACAGACAGCGGGCAATGAGGAGACAGGCATAAAATGGACTCACACAAAAAACGTGGAGGATCTAGACTTCGCCTACGATATATGTCTGATTTCCCACAAACTGGAAGATATGTAAGCGAAAAGTAACAAGTTGGCAGAAGAAGCATCAAAGATAGGACTTCAGGTGAACATAGAGAAAACAGAGGTGATGAAGATTCCTGGGCAACACCACCAACAGCAACAACAACTGACAACAATCAGCATAAATGGGAGGAACCTGAGAGAAACAACCTCTTTTACCTACCTGGGAAGCATCGTTTCAACTGCAGGCGGACGAAACTGACGAGGATATCAAAGCAAGAATCGGAAAAGCAAGACAAGCTTTCACTACTCGGAAGTCTGTGTGCAGGTCAACAACTCTCAGCATCAAAAATAAGATCCGGATTTTCAACTCCAACGTGAAGTCAGTGAGTGCTACTATACGGATCAGAGACTTGCACTGCGCGTCATAAAGAGCATCTCAAACAAACTACAGACCTTCATCAACACCTGTCTTCGCTCAATACTCAAGATCAGATGACCGGCCATAAAAGATCAGCAACAGAGATCTCTGCGAGCGAACCAACCAGGAACCGATTGTGAAACAAAAAGGCAGGAAGAAATGGAGATGGATTGGCTGGCCATACTCTGAGGAAACAATCCATCAAGTGACATCA